ACCGTCGTCACACAAGCATCCGAGTGTGTTGTGACTTCCGGAGTGGCTCCGTCTCTCCTCTGTTTGGACAGGTTATGTGCTCTGAGAGGGGTGGGAGGGGGGCTTTACTGGCCGGGGCCTACAGGCTTGCACAGATGGCCCCACACCCATGGAAACTGGGGTACAGACGGGGCCGCATTGTGGAGAGAGGAGGGAGGGATGGATCAGAGCTGCGGGGACACAGAAGGATGCGACTTCGCCAGGTTTTCTCAGGTCCCTTGGTACATTTGAGGCAGGGCTGGGAAATGGGTAAAGGTCCCCTCGGCTGGGGTGGCTGGACCTGCCGGGGTGCCAGGAAGGCAAGCCCCTGGGGCCAGCCCTTGGACAGCGCCTCCGATTCTGAGCTCAGAACCAATGGTGTGCTCAATCCTATCACCAGCATATCCTGCCTGTTCCCATCTCAAAATCCCAAGCACCTCGTTTCGTGACTTGTTTGTGTTGGCTGAGGTATAGCGTCACCTTGTGCGTGTCTTTCTAAAGTAGCACCTGCTGAGCGTCTCCTGTGCTGGGCATGTAGAGATGTGTAGGAAGCAGTGAAGGGGAGAGAAGCCTTCAGTACAGCGTCGGCCAAGGCCACACCTGGGCAGGACCACCCGGGACCATCCTGTTCGCTGGGGGTCTGAGCTGGGCCAGGCATGGGCGGGGTTGGGGGGAGGTCTCCTGGTCACTGCAGCAGGTGCAGGGGTGGTAAAGTTGGGCTCAGTGTCCTCACGTGTCTGGAACGAAGCGTGTGAAGTGGGGTCACGGGGGCAGCGAGGGGCTGGATCATGGTGGTCATGGGGTGTCCCGCTGAGCGGCTGGGGGCTTCTGAGCAAGATGGACATGATGGGAGCTGTGCTTTTGGAAGCCAGGTGTGGAGGAAGAGGACTTGGGGGGGGGTTTCTGGTGGTGGTCACGGGTGGGACCAGGATCCCTGTGGGCAGGCATCCAAGTGACCCGCCTCCTTGTGTCTTGCAGACGGCGTCCACAGCGTCGTGGCGCTCTGCACCCTGCGGGTGACCATCATCACCGACGACATGCTGACCAACAGTATCACTGTCCGCTTGGAGAACATGTCGCAGGAGAAGTTCCTGTCGCCACTGCTGTCCCTCTTCGTGGAAGGGGTGGCCACGGTGCTGTCCACCACCAAGGACGACGTCTTTGTCTTCAACATCCAGAACGACACGGACGTCAGCTCCAACATCCTGAATGTGACCTTCTCCGCCCTGCTGCCCGGCGGCGTCCGAGACAAGTTCTTCCCCTCAGAGGACCTGCAGGAGCAGATCTACCTGAACCGGACCCTGCTGACGGCCGTGTCCACGCAGCGCGTGCTGCCCTTTGACGACAACATCTGCCTGCGGGAGCCCTGCGAGAACTACATGAAGTGCGTGTCCGTGCTCAAATTCGACAGCTCGGCCCCCTTCATCAGCTCCACGACTGTGCTCTTCCGGCCCATCCACCCCATCAACGGCCTGCGCTGCCGCTGCCCACCCGGCTTCACGGGCGACTACTGCGAGACCGAGATAGACCTGTGCTACTCCAGCCCCTGCGGCCCCAACGGCCGCTGCCGCAGCCGTGAGGGCGGCTACACCTGCGAGTGTCTGCAGGACTTCACTGGTAGGTGCCCGTCCCCCATGGGCCCCGGGCGGGCACAGGCTTGGCGGGAGAGACCTCGGCTTTGCACGAGGTTCCCGGCTCACATATCGGGAGGCTTCCGGGGGTGGAGATCATCTGTCCACTTCCCTCCTGCGGAAATGGTCAAAGGACAGAGGCTGGGCCCAGGTGTCCACCCTGGGAAACTTGTAACGATTTGACAAGTGGCACGTCCTTAGCCATCGGCAGGTGGGACGAGTGCTTCCTGACCCCGAGCGACTTACGTCACCATCCTTATGAGAACGGTAGGAGGGAGATTATAGTGTGAGATGCGCCTAAAAAAATCTGCATGCGTGAATCGACATGCTCTGCTTTTAAGTGGCTTTACATTTAAAGCACTTCAATTCAGATTTCAAGTTTAATGGGTTATCGTAAACAGCGTAACTGGGATAGAAATCGTGAGCCGTTAATCATTTGGGCCTAGAAAGACATTCGCGCTTTTACGCCTCATTGTCACTGTAGAAATGACTCATCTTCTTCACCGGGAACATGAACTTGCATCGCTCGAGACGTCCTGACTAATCACAAAGGGCATCGCTCCAATCTCAGCCCACGGTTGTTTTTAAAAAGGGAAAGCTTGCCAAGAGCAGTACAGAAATGCACGTTCTACAATAGCTCCGATCGCCTGGCACCTAAAATGACGGCCCGCTTGTCAAACAAGTTGACCGGGGCCTGTCTGTGAACGGGGTGTCTTCTGGAGGGCTGCCTGGGCACCAGGCGGGGCTGGATTCACACCGGAGGTAGCTCGGAGATTCTTCCATCCCCTGTGTCCCTGTTAACGTGTTTAGTATAAACAGCTGAGAAATCGTTATCTGCGAGTGTGGAACATGACACAAGTTTATCGAGCTTAGGACGGGGGTTTACAGTATTAGCCGGCATTTCTCAAGCAGGAAGAGCGAGCGAAAGCTGGGGTGGGGCACAGAGAGAGGAAGGCAGCTGCGCGC